TCACATTCTTCTTCACAGGAAGAAGCCGAGCCACACACATGGGAGCCCCCGAACTGGCCGGGTGAGTGGGGTCGGTGCTGGACTTGCACGGCCTGCTGTCTCTCTGGCCGCCCCCCTGCAGAAGCTCCCGGGGCTCAGCCCACACCGGCTTCGTCATCGGGGTCTGGGTGGCTGCAGTGGAGACTCACAGCTCACCACGTCTTAAGACCCTTGCTCACATAACCCCCCTCACTTAGCTGCGCTTCACTTAGCACCCCCGCCCCCACACTAGGCTGCCCCGTCTGTCTCATCCCAGGCAAGGGGCACCTTGTGCAGTAAGAAATGGAGAAAAGAAGAAAACATGCAAGACTCCTGAGGAGCTGATGGACAGAGAGATATGTAGGTAGACAGACAGACAGATAGATAAACATACTGCCATCAAGTGCATGTCAACAGATAGATAGATGATAGATAGATAGATAGATAGGTAGGTGATGATAGATAGATAGATAGACAGACAGACAGGTGATGATAGATAGATAGATGATAGATAGGTAGATATGCAGATAGATAGATGATAGATACATAGATAGATAGGTAGATAGATGATTGGTAGATGATAGATAGATATGCAGATAGATGATAGATAGACAGATAGATAAACACACTGCCATCGAGTGGAGGCCGACTCACAGCGACCCTGCAGGACAGGGCAGAGCTGCCCCTGGGGGTTTCCGAAGCTTTTGAACTGCTGGCCACCTGGGGAGCAGCCGAGCATGCCCGTCCCCCACCCACCAGGCCCGGCCGGCAGGAGGGACGTTGAGCCCCTGGGCTGCTGTGTTTCAGGCGCTGGCTGCCTGCAGCCCTGGGCATGCTCCTGGCGTGGATGCCCTCGGCTGCCCACGACTTGGCCGGTTCGAGACCCAACGTGGTGCTCCTGATGGCGGACGACCTCGGCATCGGCGACATCGGCTGCTACGGAAACCGCACCGTCAGGCAAGCTGCAGAGAACCCGCGGCCTGAGCTTCCCG